ACCCCCACCCCACCGGAACCACCCCGCAACTACCAGTCCCCTCCGACCTTCCCCGGTTCCGGCTCTCTCTACTTCCGGCCCCTGGAGTACGCAGACACCAGATGCTCACAGTTCCACTTCAACATCCAGTCACAGCTCAACAGCCAACAGCTGCTGTTCAACAGCCAACAACAGTCCAACAGCCGACAGCCGCTGAGCAGAAAACCGGAGGAAGACAAAGCTCTCACTCAACCACGATCCGAAGTCGTGGAGCCTGCGTCATCTTGGGGCAAATCTCCATGCTTGCCATGTGAGGCGAAACTCATGTCTGCAGATGAGGACACTCAGAAAACTGGTTCTGGAGGTAAAGGTAAAGGTGGGGAAGATGATGGTGGTGTTGGTGGTGTTGGTGGTGGTGGTAGTAGTCGTAATGGAGGTAGTGGTAGGGAAGATGAAGGTGGTGATAGTAATAGTCTTGGTAGTCGTAGTGTTTGTGGTGGTGGTGGTGGTGGTAGTGGTGGTGGTGGTAGGGGTGGTGGCAGTGGTGGTGGTGGTGGTGGTAGCGGTGGTCGTGGTGCTTCTACTGCTGCTGCATCTACTTCTGCTGCTGCTGCTGTGTCGTGTAATGCTGAACCAGAGAGGAAAACGATAACGATCCGCACACCGGAGAGATGTGAAGGCGCTCAACTGGACCTGTTGCTCACGCCAAAAGTCTCGGAACGGTCGCTCACCCTCGGGTCGGAGACAGACGACAACAGCAAAGGAAGGGAGGGCGGGGACAGCAACGAAATGACGTCCTCGAGCAAAGACTGCGCCAAAGACTGCGCCAAAGACTACGCCACAGACTGCGCCAAAGATCACGCTAAAAATCGCGAAAAAGACTGCTTCAAAGACTACGCCAAAGACTGCGCCAAAACCCGCACCAAAGACTGCATCAAAGACCGCGCAAGAGACTACGCCAAAGACTACAGCAAAGACTACACCAAAGACTGCGCCAAAGACTGCTTTACAGACCGCGCAAGAGACAGCCGGAGGTTTACCAAAGCCACCAGCGAGGTCCCTGGAAGGAGAGGAAGGAGCTCTCTAGAGCGGAGCACAACATCCCGGGGCTCCTGCGGTTGTGAGAACCCTGGTGATGACGTCATAGACAGGAGCGGCTTCCCTGGGCGGAGCGGGCCGTCCTCACTGGTGACCAGGGGCAGACTGAAGACTCCGTGTCACGTCACGGGGTTCAGCCACGTCAGTGCCAGGGAGGGCGGAGTGACGTCACGACTGCGGTCTGTGAGGAGTGGCCGGCCGACCCGTTGCACAGCGGGGGAACAGGGAGCAGGACCAGGAGTGATGTCAAGGGTGTCTTCTGGGAGGAGATTTGGTTACGGTACCAGGATAGGAGGAGGAGGAGGAGGTTGGGAAAGAGGAGGAAGAGGAGGGAGAGGGTGCGGCGTGTGCGACAGTGTGACGTCCCGCAACGGCGCCACCACTGCCCCACCCCCCAGCCTCGTGCTGTTGGTCCAGGCTCCGCGCGGGCCCGCCGAGGTGACGTCATCCTCTGTGGAGGCCCCGGGGTTACAGGAGGCGAGGAAGACCTCCAGGGTGAGCTTTGACCTCACTCCGTCTTATGACCTGCAGGACTCGGGCTTACCACGGACGGACACGCCCCCCACCACCCACGATACACTAGACACGTTGTCAAGGGCGGCAGTCTTGTTGGGCGGGGAGGGGAGGGCAGGGCCGAAGGAGGGGGGGACAAGTTAAAATGTTGTTGGGCGAGGGGGGGGCCTGGGGAGGGGGGAAAGTTAAGGACGGTACACTGGTTCTCCAATTGTGGGAACTGCAGGATCGGGTTTGGTCGGGTGGAGTCGGATCGGGTTGTTGGGTTATATCCTTTGTAAACTGCTCATCGCATAGCATTCATTGTTTTGGGGACAGTTTCTCCAATAGGGGAGTGGGACCTGCATGATGGGGTTGGATCAGGGGGAGTTGGATCGGGTTGTCGGGTTATATCCAGTGAACACCGCTAATCCCATAGCATTCACAAAGCGATTGAATCGACTCGCCAGTTTGAAAAACGAACGCGTTTGATTTTGAAGGACACAGAGTCGAAAGTAGTTCAATTTGGTCAAATTATGTGTGTAAGAGTATATTTATGTATATATATATGTATGTGTGTGTGTGTGTGTGTGTGTGTGTCTGTGTGTGTGTGTGTGTGTGTGTGTGTGTGTGTGTGTGTGTGTGTGTGTGTGTGTGTGTGTGTTTGTGTGTATGCTGTTTTCTTCAAGGTCATCAGACATCTAAAACAGAAATATATACCATTATCTGAAAAGATCTTTGTACGAAATGTTCAACCAAATAAATGATGCCATTTTTAGAACATTTATTTTTAAAACATTGATCTATTTCTGTACCAGCTCCATCATTGTTAGACTCACTTCTTTTTAACACTTCGGAGGAGAGTATAAAAAAGGGTGGTTAGAGGGTGTTACTCGAAGGTCTTATTTCTCTACATACCGTCTCTGTGTTCTATTATAGTTTCTTGGTTATGCCCTGTCCTAATACCCAAAGTATCAACTTAAAAGCGTATACATCTGATTTGCTTATGATGATAAAAGATACGCATCTATCTTGAATAAAAGTCTAGATTTTTTCGAAAAAAAAAAGGTGGGGGTCGCCTAGCATCCTAGCTAAATTTCGCGAGAAAAGAGCAGCAACAGTTTGGAGACTTGCAAAGTTTGGGCGGGTGTTATTGGAAACTGTAAGTTTACCTGTTTGTGCTTTTGAATGAACGTTTTCAGTATAGTCCAAACAGAAATATCATGTTTTTTGAGGACATAGAAAGTGCTGAGCCCCCTAAAACATATCTATAAATATTGCCCAAACGGACGAAAAAGGTCGGTTCCTTTGACTTCAAAATTTTGACAAGTACCTGATTATCCCGTGAACTGCTATTTCCGGGGTGCCTTGATACGATAGTCGATGTCAACAGAGAAGTCCAAACGGGGAATCAGGCTTACTCTGCTCACCTCTCTAGCCTCAACAGCACAAAGTCTGCCGCGACTGTCAAGGCACTCCGGAAATAGCAGTTGTCAAGAGAAAGACAAACATACAAAAGAAGTAGAGGAAAAATAACTAAAGTGAGGATGAGGAAAGAAAAAGTAGCACTTCCCCCTATGTTGTTTCGGCACGTTATGAGCATGACATTGATAAATCAGTCTTTTACATTTCTACTGTGCTTAAGAACATGTTAATGTCCCTCCCTTTGGGAATGGTCTAAAGACACTTCATTCAGTCAATAGCACAGCCCTGGGGGTGGGGGGGGGGGGGGAGATCAAAAATACGTGTTTCTGCTACGTCCTGAAACGTAAAGAGCTGAACGCTTACAATAAATACATCATATAATTGGTCGCTTTTAAGCACAATGGGGCTATTCCGAAGCATGCCATTTTGAGAAAATCGAAGGTAACGTTTTTGCCCCTTGTTCAGTGTCTTTTTTAAAGACAAGGAGGGTTTTCTCTATAACCAAACAAATATACACACCGATGAAACCAAACTTCTCCTATAGGTAGGGCAATGCCCACTTTTGGTGTAGGTCAAGAGTCCGTTTGTCCTTAAAAGCGACCGATTGGTTACGACAATCTCATTTGTCCCTCAATTAAAGAGAGACCCCATTTTTTTCTACAACCTTTGCTTCTTTTTTATTGCATACAATATGCTTCACTCCACTGCCCCCCCCCCTTCCAAGTATCCCAGCAACAAACAAAAACAACAACCACAACAACAACAACAACTACAACAACAACAACAACAACAGCAACAACAACAACAACAACAACAACAACAACAACAACAACAACAAAAACACCTTCAAAAACCCGCAAGCTAATACAATAACAGAAATGGTCAGAAATAAGTTAAGAACGATCAAAGAATTGAAAAATAAAAACAAAATAAAAGAATTGAAAAGTTAAAAATACGACAAATAAAAATAAATACCAAACACAAGTTATTCTTGGACTCGGTCTATAAAACTAGCTGTCCTGGCGGCATTGATGGGTCCGTCCGTATCGCTCCGTCTCTGTCACAAAGGACTGACTCATCCATCATGTCTCTTGACGCGCTTCTTTGTCTAACTCACGGCCCTATGCACTGCACGCACATATACTTCAGATATTGTGACAATGAACTCCACTGGGTTTTATTCACAAATGTCAGGTAGTGGGGTGAAATCAGAAATCAGGCGCTCGTAAAAATAATTTTATCGAAGAAACAGGCAATTTTTACCGAATTTTTGTTTTTTGGATCAACACCTAGCAGAAGAGTTAACGCTCTGATGCTACTGGATCGCTAACAACGGATCAACACCTTTCACGCCTATTGAACAGAACATTTCTGTGTGGATTTTACTGAAAACCGTTGATTAAAGGCAGAAGAAGTGTAAATGTTCAATTTCCACTGACTCTCAAGCTAAAGAAGTAACTCAACTTTTGCGGCCATTTTCTCGCTAATTTGACCTCTGAAACCAGATGACCCTCACCTCCTTCAATCACACATATCTCGACTTCTATTAAACATAGATGGATATTATTTTCACACCAAGCAAGGAAAAAGGACAGGCATTAAGAAGATATCATCTACTTCATTTGTCCCAAAATTGACGAGAGCCTGATTCCACCGTGCCCAGGCTCAAATACTGACCACAGACAATATCGTGGAAGGAAAAGAAATCAATTGAGGTAGTACGTGATGAAGCCCACGTGGGACGCTCACTTACTGTTAAAAACAACCAGGAAACGATAAATTGCAGTTTTCGGGACACCTGAATAGACGCAAAAGTCTTGAACATCTAGCTCTTCCTGGCAAAATTGAAGGCAAACGAGGCAGGGGTAGGCCCAGAGCAACCTACTTAGGGAACCTAAACAAATGGGTAACGGGGAAAGATCAGGGAAACATAGCTTTTTTAAGAGCATCCGAGCAAACGAATGAATGGAGAACCATGATCGCCGATGTCTGTCGCAAATCTGGGACTGGAGGAAAGAATTCTAGAATTGGTCAAGGTACCAAAAAACAAAAACAAAAACAAAAGCCTTAGCTCTCTCCTCACTCTGCCACTGGAGCTATCTAGATAAGACAGAACATCACAAGTTCTTCTATGTCTGTCGAAAGCTCACTGACGTATTCGCACGAACGAGCAATATTATATTATATCATTATGTGACAGTGTGGTGAAATCAGGCGCTCGTCAAAAGATATATTTTCCCGCCAATTTGGATATTTGTATCGATTTTTTTTTTTGGGGGGCTTAACTGTTTTTGGTCCATATAAAAACAAATTGCCATGTGAATTTTACAGAAAAACATTGATTAAAGCCACAAAATATGTTATTTTTCAGTTTTCAAAGACTCTTTAGCTCTTGGAGTTTCCAAACTTTGGTGACCATTTTCTCGTTAATTTCATCCCTGAAACCAGGCCATTTCAATTCCTTCAATCGCTAATATCGTGAATTCAAGTCAAGATAAAATGGATATAATTTATTTCATTGAAAGTAAGGCAAATAAATAAGTTTCAGATGATACCAATAACTCCACATGCCCAAAAATTGACGAGCGCCTGATTTCACCACGCCATGACACTATTGAGGGCGGTAACATTTTCTACGACGTTACGTCATTATTTACCCTGTATTTCTCAATCGGAAATGACAAGACTGCAAAACCTTTAATGTAATCTTCTAAATTAAATTGAACAGCCAAATAAAAGCCCGGGTTGGGAAGAGAAATCTACTTTCCGTCGAAATTGAGAGGGTTTTTTAAAAATACATTATGTATTAGGTTTCTTTATTTTGTTTTTTAAATTATTTTTTTGTGTGTGGTAAATTATGTATGATGTCTATTTATTTTGTTTTTGCTTTTCTTTGAGGACATGATGATAATCTGCGTCGTGCCTTCATAATTTGATTTCAATGTATTTCTTGCCATCCATTTTTTCCTGAGTTTTGGATATGCCTGGTTTTCTCAAAATGTTGGAAGCACTAGACTCTTTCTCAGTGAAGTAAAAAGTAGACTTGTTGATCATTCTGTGCAGAACATAGAGGAAGAAGTCTGTCGCAAGTATAATTTATTCTCACTTACAATTCCGTTTCCAGAAACAGCTGAATATATCACCAACCTCTCACGGTATTGGAACAGAAGAGTCATAGCTTTGTTAAAAACTCCTAGTCTTCCACTAAATAACAATCTCTGTCGGTGGAAATTAACTAAACATTGCCCGAACGGTGGAGATATGCCCATGTCTTCCATTTCCTCATCTTGACGAGCGCCTGATTTTACTACAATGCCACTCAATCAAGCTGTGAAATTTATATGTGTGAGGCATCGTGGTTAAATCGGATGCTCGTCGAAATAACGAAATCGGAGACACAGGCATTTTTCAGCCAGTAAGGCAATTTTGATAGAATTTTGTTTGTGTTATCTGGTGTAGACTTCGTGGATTCGCTGAGACCGCTGATAATAATAATAATAATAATAGTAATAATAATAATAATAATAAATAGCATTTGCATAGCGCATATCCCCACTCAACAGCAGGCTCTATGCGCCTTCCTCTATATTATTACCCCAGCAGACCATAGAACACTCCGAAACATTCTCAGCTTCCGCAAGGCTTCCTGTCGTGAAAGATCAGAATTAATGTCTCTTCTCTTTATTCTGCGTTGTAAAAAATCAGAAATATTCTGTCTGTATTTTGAACCTACAGACCATGTCGCGAAGGTATCAT